GAAACCGACACGGAAATCGAACAAATTCGTATGTCCACGGTTGTAAGGGGCTCGTATTTTTCGTGTAAATTTCACGTATCTATCAAAAAAACGATGTTCAATCGAGAGTGGTTTCACACGCGGATAATATTAGTTTCGAGTGCTGAGTAAATTTTCAAAATATAGTTCGCGCGTGCGCGCGTATGTGTGTGTGTGTGTGTGTATGTAAGTGTACATCTAAATTTAAGGAAAGATAAATGAAAAATGGTACGCAGAACAATGAATAACAATAACACCGTATATAGTGCTCGTATAGTATTGCATAATATTGTGTCATTAACCCTGTTGGCCTTGTTGACTGACACGAAATATAAAAACACACATTAAGGTAAAACTAATAGCTCCCTGGAGTATCATTCGGAATCTATAACTACAAATAAGATACGTTAAATACTTAATGTAACTAAAAATATACACACTAAATATTATTATGAATACTAAGAATTTTGATCGACTGCATATTTCCATTGATGCAGTAGAGGTTCTTCTAGAAAAAAAAAATACTTGGTAGATAATAATCTTGAATAGCGCTTGTTGCAAAATTAAGTTTTTTCTTTTTTCAATTTTTCGTTCCCACTACCAAAGGAAAATATTTTAATAAAATGTTTGGTTTAAACACATATTAGGAAAATAATCAAATAAATTACCATTTTTAATTTTTGCATCGTTATCATAATTATAAATAAAACAATAAAATGTCATGTTAAATCAAATGTTCTTCAACATATTAAACGTTTTAAATAAAGCTTAATTTACAAAAATAACTTTATTCAAAAATATTTTATATTTTGGCCTTGATAAAATAATTGTAAACCCAAATCAATGAGAACCCGATGTTATCGGAATCTCGGTACCCCGCGGTCTTGCGCACAAAGTAAGGGATGAAAAGAAGGTTGTAGATACATAATGACGAGGTCCGAGGAGGCGTTTCGGTCGATCGCAGGCGATAATAAATAAGTGGCTTTCAGTATTTTTCTTACAATACATCATGTATCACATTGTACACATTTATGGCCGGGGTCTTCGGCTCCAAGGGTAAACTACCCTGTCCCGACCGAAACAGCGCCGGAACATAATATATTATATACAAATTGTGCTACGTAGACCCACCGCGCCGTCGCCATAAAATATGTCCAAGGTGAAACCTGCTCTTTTACGCTTTTGTCCGCTTGTGATGCCGACACAAACGCATTTCACAAACTCAAAAACCGATGCGTATGCGTAGATAATTTACCATACCCTCTCGGATGTTGCACATAACCCTCGTTATTTTTTTTCCTTTGAACGCCGACTCCTGCAGGGCTCCTACGCAGTACTTAACAATAAAATGTCACGTATGCATTGGAATTCGAATTTTGACCACACATACGAGTATGTGTGCAGCCGCCCCGGCTCGTCAGGGGAGACTTTAAGAGTGCTCGTAAATAATTACTTTTAACAATGTACAGAAATATTTGTATTTTTATTAAAAATATGTTATAGCGTTTTCTATATTTATTGTTATAAATATAAGGCCATAAAATATAAAACCTATAAACAGTTATTTCGTTGGAAACACCATTTTTGTAATTTCGGCGACGGTCGCCGTTTCAGTAAAACTGACGTCCTACAAGTTCAATAGTAACATGTAATGCGATAGAAAGGCGGTAAGCAACGGCGGCGGCGCGGTTCGGTCGGGGTATAATGGCGGCGGATGGGCAGCAATGCAGCGATATAGCAACGCGAAGACGCGCGTGAACGCAACAATGGATTGGCGGTGGAGAGGCGGTTATGTAGCGTCGACGCACTGGTCACGGTCGGAGTGGTACAGTGATGGTGGGTGGTGGTGAGATGGCTTTGGACAGAGTTGGTGCGCGACGCGGAGAGATATCGCTGCAACGTACTGGCAGCGACAGTGGGATGGTTCGTGTTGGTGCGAAATCAAAGTAGCAACGGAGCGGCAACACGTAATAGTGATCCGTAGTGGTAGGCCAAGGACCGGTGGTCCACGTTCGCACGACAGTCACCGACAGATAGCAGCACGTGATGGACTTTTTGTTAACGCGAGCTAATAACGACAAAAAGAGAAACAAATCGATAATAGTAGTATCATTGATTATCAGAGCAGTAACAACCAAATATTGTGCTCGGGCCGAAACTTCAAAAGGCGGCATTATGTATTTTAATTTAAAAAAACTCACAAAAAACTGAATATTTTTTATAAACGCTATATAAATAATAATTTTTCCTTATAATTATGTAAGCGTTGGTTAATTTTTTTTTAATCCATAACTTATTAAAATATAAATATACATAAAAATAATTTTTATACTATTATTTTTTGAATCTACTTATAATTATTATAATTAGATTCATAGATATAACATAATAATATTTATAAATTATATAAGTAAATATATAAATACATAATATTATTTTACTTATAAGTAATAGTATAAAATTTACATTTTTTCATTTTCGCGCTCTCCCAGGAATTGTGCCCAGGGCGTAGGCTCCTCTAGCCCCCCCCCTTTCTTGTTACAGCCCCGTTGATTATAGAATAATCATAAGTTTATACTGTATGGTAATCAATGGCAGTAGCCAGACTTAGTGTTCAGAGTACGCAAAAAAGTTACAAAATCGAAGAATAATAGCAGTTCCCATGAAATAAGAATATAAATTATCATTTCCATAACCATTCGGGGTATGCAATTGCCACTTTCTATACGTCTACGCATCAATAAAAAATTAGTTCAATATTTTACATGCCCGTTTAATGGTGTGTAATTAGATATACATATATGATAACAATAAACTCAATTATTTTCATTGTGTTTTTCAATTGTGTGTGGGTAAAAATAAATTTCAAAACACGAGTATGAATTGGAACAAAATTGAATTTTTTTGAGTCATAGGTAATTTGAACGTATCGGTAACCCGAACGATCCATTTCCAAATTTCCAAATTATCCTACGGATTATCGCGACGTTACTAATATTCCATGTAATCTGATGTGTATTTATTTACTGGTAAATTTCAGACGCGTAAAAGATTGGTTCCGGGTGCTGGGTAAATTTCAAGAAGTATGGTTTGTGATGAGCTACGCTGCTGGCCCGGCGGTGTAAAGACGGCAGCGCAGCGATGTCGACGAACGATGCGAGCGTAATTTTTCACGAAATTTAAAATATATATTATAATTTATTTTAGTTCTACCGGATGTATTAAATTTACATTTATGCATTTGGCCTTCACACACAACAAATCCTAAGGATGAGGATGAAAAAAATAAATTTTTAAAAATCAATCAAGCGATTTATAACGTAGACGGTTTGTTTACACTTATTCACTCATCATGACGTCACGCAGTTGTTTTTCAGTTTCTCGTTATGCCAAAAATTACCGTGTTTGGTTTCGACGTGCGTGGACCAATGTCTAAAAACGTTGGATGAAAATGCATTAAACTCGAAATCAATGCTTGATTGCTTTCAGGAAACGAATCTGAGGCATGTAGTCCGATAAATACGCAAACATTTTCTAAATAGGTTGGATAAATTGAAAGCAACAAATTTCTTTTAATTTTGTAATTTTCGCCAAAAAATAAAAAAAATAAAAATAAAAAATGTGGGCAAATTTAAAATTTAAAGTCAAAACAAAAATTCATTCGAATGATTCAAAACAATAATACGTCAAGTACTAAATAACTTATATTGTGTAGTAAAAATTCTTTGAATTACAAAATTTTATTTTTAACTTATATATTAGTATATTATATCTTAGGTACAATTTTATAGTATTAACGAGGAAATTGAAAATTTTATGAATTTTTATAACAAAATATAGCAGATTAACATGATTGTAAAGTTTTGAAAACATTTTATAATTAATTAATCGTAAATTCAATGTAGTTGGAATGGTAAATTATTTTTCGATTTTTTTGGTAATGATCTATAAGTTCTACGAAAATCCAAACATTTCTTTTCTAATTACTATTAGGCGTGTAATATGTGACTCATGATAATAGTTTATTCAGTATTTAAATATTATTTTTAAGTAGGTCATTTATAATGGACTATTAATTATTTTAATTTACTTGGTTTCTGATATTTACAAACGTTTATATAAAAGGCGGATTTAGGGCATTCGTTAATAATTTATAAGAACTTAATGACCGCTGGGAGTAATTATCATTTGTATTCGAAATCAATATTTACTCAGCTTGAAATGTACATACGTAGATTACACTTAAAGTATATGTGATGATGTATATTATTTTCTAAATAAAATATAAACCTTCGTTCCCCCTATCGGGTGAATCTTGAAAAAACTTGTGTTTACTGCATAACAATTTTGACAATAATGAACTTCAAATTTCACCTGACAATTTAAGGCGATAAATATTAAAAATGTTAAGCCACATTTCATACAACCAAACTCTAATAATGCCCATAATTCGGTGATATAGTTGTCTTCACACATACATAAATATACACACAAATGCATACACATGGTTGTATACACATACATGATGCTTCATCTAACAGTGATTATATTTATATATAGATAATATAGATGATAGTTATCATATACATATTGGCTGAACGATTAATACAGATAATATTAATCGGACGTTTATCGGACTAACCGGATGTTAATAGTTGCTTAAATATTATGATCGTTATCATATACATATTGGCTGAACGATTAATATAGATAATATTAATCGGACGTTTATCGGATTAACCGGATGCTAATAGTCGCTTAAATATTATATACTATCAATAGGAGTCACCTACAGGCGTTGTAGTCGTCTCACAAACATCAACGAAATATTCGTCAGTTTATAAAATATAATACGTAGCATATTTCTATTCATCAAGTAATGGAATTTAATAAAATTAAAATTATATGAAGTGAACGAGGTGAAGATCTAGTATTATTATATAGTAATAAATATCGTTTTATTCGGAAACGTAAGGACACAAGAAGTATTTAGAGTATGTTGGATACGCTATCCCGCTATAACTAATTTATAGGTAACACATTTGTTATTACATATTTATTATATATTTTTATAATTCTACTTTTTTTAAATTTTTTAAACATATTTATATGACTTTTTTCAAGAATATTTGTTAAATGATAGATAATAAATGATATGACAACGTTGCATGTAAAATCATTTTCAATCATATTTATTTTTGGGTCATTGCTGTAAGTTCTTTGTTAATTTATCAATTGTTGGAGACAGGGTCCACCAGGCAAAGAATTAATCGTGTATTTTCGTTAGTTCCGTACAAAAACATTTGTTTTGTTCACGATTATCGGAATTGCATATTATATTCCTATTAATGGCTTATGACTTGGATATTTGAAAATATAAAATTTTTAATAAAAATACATGCGTGATTCGTATATACAAATAAATATATAATTGCATAGCCTAGAGTGTTGTTATATTTAAAAGTACGATCGGTTTTGAATTAAAAATGTATTGCCCGGTATTTAAAAAGTCAATTAAAACATGTATATGCTAAATCATCAAAAATATACTGTTTAGTGACCAAATAATTTAAACGATTTATCTTCAACTATACATAACACTACTCTCTTCACGAATACTCGAAAAAAAATTTAAAAACTTTAATGATTTGACGGTTACCAATAAATAATATACAATGATACTACCTATAACAATCGAGTATTTGAATTTTTAGTGAATAATAAATTATGAACTTTGTTGAAAATATACTAAAAAAAAAAAATTATCTAATATTCGTTCGGCTTACGTTGTTTCGATTTTCCCTTTATAATTCGTGTCACTCCTACTCAGCAAACAGTAGTTCAATTTTAATTTACATGATACTTAACTATGATACAATTGTACTATGTTTCAGTGTTTGTTAGTTTGTTTTTATTTTTCGAGGCTGAGGGTACCAGCAATACCAGCAGTATTGTATTTAGAAGCAAATATTCTAAAAAAAATGAATTGCTCATTGCTAATTGCCACGGTGCCAACGGGCAAAAACTTAAAACAATATCTGACAACATAATGTCAGAAGTTCAGGTTTGTTATAATAGTTATAGTTATAAATGTTTATTTTAATAGATATAATAATTTACATCTAAATTGGATGATTGAAATTCGATTGATATTCAATAAATTAACGTACCACAGCCATTTGAATAAAATTAATGCTAGTTATTGACTTTATTTCTCGTATAAATGCTATCAAAAGAGATCTATTCATATTGTTTTGCCAAAGTAATTTTTAAAATTCAAACTCAACTATACATGCGTTTCTTATTAATATTTTTGGAACCAATTGGGCATCTGCTACACTTACGTTTTATATTTCACGAAAAAATATTTGTTCGTTTATCATCGAATCGAACCAAAAATAATACTCGATAAATGTCCATTATTTCTAAATAAAATGGTAAATACCTATATACATTTGTGCTAGATCCCCCGTAAAGCATTTTGCAGCCGATATTTTAAAAATGTAATTTATTTTATTTGTTTTCTTATAATATATAAAGATCCGAACCTACGATATTTATTTTATGACGATTTGAACTTTGATACATATTTTGGCTATTATACACGACATACATATTGTTAATGTATATTCGTCGTTTCTAAGACATAAAAATAAACTCGCATGATGCCCTCCTACTTGAATTTTGGTCTTGATTTTAAGTATTTAGGAAAAAAAATGCACACCAAATGGATATTTATTCTCGTGACCTGTATAGTAAACAATACCGGAAATATTGAGTTGAATTCCGCAAATATTTTTTCGTTATCGGAGTTAAGTCCAGCAAATATTTTTAGGTTAACGGAGTTGAGTCTAGGGCGTATTTGAGTTGAGGCCATGAAGGGGGCGAAACTTATTTTTCTTTAATACAAAATAATTTACGGTTCATTACAAGAGCGTACCCAAGGGAGGGGTTCGTGTCCGGACCTTCCCATTGAAATTTTTACATACTCAATGGTTTAATAGTAAATAGTATATAGTGTATTTTAATTTCTCGTTATCTTCAAAGTTTATAGATCATATAATATACCTTTAATGTATAAACCATGTTTAATTTATAGGGCTTTTTTAATATTATTTTTTATTGTTAATTAAAGAATGTATTTTTTTATAACATTTTACTACCAAATAAAAATTGATTTCAAATTATAGTACCTACCTATTATAGTAAACCTTTGTGAAGAATATTTTTGATGTGTGTATAACAATTGTGACTATTACTATAGTTATTAACAGTAATTTGTTGGTATTGAATTAAACTATAATTGTAATTAGAGAACAGATAAAATAAAAATTTTGAACTTCCATCCTAAAAAAATCCTGGGTACGACTTTGATTCATTACCTACAGCTCATGTTCCTGTTGTTCATTCAAGTGAATAAATTAAAATACAAGTATTAAATTGAATTAAATATTTATTTAATAAATATATTTAAAACCTACTGCATATAAAATAAGTATTAATAATAACAACACAAATAGTTCTTATATTAAAATTGTACCTTCAGTCTGAATCCTGTATAAAAAAAACAACAAATAATCATAGTAGTAATAGTACTTATTGATTATTTTTTAGAAACTTTAAAAAATAATTAAGATAGGTAACTTAATTTAACAAATATCTAAGTAGAAAACATAAGGTTGGTAAGTAGTCAAATAACAAAATCCAAATTTCTTTTTTACATTTTGGCAAATTTGTTGATTGTTTCATGAATGGATACAATAATATGAGTATTTTTAAGCACATGCAGCAAAGCCAAACCTGTTAGTCTATGCTGGCCTATTCTTGATCTTAACCATGTTTTTAATTTACAAAAATATATTTTTGGCCAATATTGGCAAGTTAAAGAATATAGAAACAAATATTGTCAGTTATTATGATTATTATTTGTGTTAGGGGCTTCCAGCTCTATAAAATACACAAATATGCATACATTTGTGTACAAAAAAATGACTAAATACCTATGCACAACAAAAAGTATCAGATATTATGTTATGAAAAAAAGTTAGTACTCCGATTAGTACTTGCTGAAAAATTATATTTCAATTGTGTGTTCTCGAAGTATTCATTACGATTGTTTGGTTTTCGATGTATATATCCTACTGAGCCATTAACGAATATAGAAATTATTGTTTTGTATTCGGTACAACGTGATGCGTGAGGTTCAAGTTGTTACCGTTTATATATGTATATAGTTATGATAGTTATGATATGTATACGGACTCAATTCAAAGGCATTAAGATAATACCCGGCATTCAATTCAAACACATAAAAGTAGCATGGATTCAATTCAATATCATACAACAATACGAATGTAATAATACTCGACTTTTTGGTCAAATAAGTTGTAATTCATGTATTCACGTTTATTTTTCTTTAGTAATAAGTACAAATTAAAATTTAAACCTATTTGACTCAGTCCGTACATACAAATACGATTCGTTTACGTAATGATCTAATAATTTCATAATTATCGTCCGTTCTGCCCGTCTCGCGACAATCACAAACGAAAATATTTCTACGCGGCGATGTCGCCGTGTACGATATCTTAGAAAACCACCAACGGAGTACAAAGATTCGGGCGACACATTCGCGGAGTGGTTTTGAAGTAAGAATATAGTGTTGCATTGGTCTTTAGGTCTGCTAATTGTTCGCTATCATATAGGAATAAAAATAGGATAATGTCTGTTAAATATTACGAAAAACCAGAAATATCAAAAATTAATGCAATTCAATGTGTATGTACGTGATTGGCGGTTCGTATAACTTTTATTACCAAAACCCTTTTAATTGCATTACATTATATCGTATTTCGAATTCGTTATTAATATTTTTATCAATTGGTTCTGATTAATTATTACTTAATATTACATATTATCATATCGATAAGTTGTCTAATATAAACATTGATATTTAAAATAAAAAATAGTTGTGAAATTCGTGGCAATGTATATCGACCCCGCAACATACCGCAGCACGTTGTTTTCTTAATCACCTATATTTATCAAACGCACGTCGTAAATTCGTAAATCAAATCGATCTCCATAAGATTCTAGCTGCACAGCCTACGGTCAATTTTACAGTCAATTTTGATCACCGGCGAGTATACTTCAACGAATAGTGTATTTTTTTTTCTTGCGTTTGAATGCAATAGGATAGTAAGGTGAACAAGTAAACAATGCTCAGTATAATTGAAATAACGTTATGGTCGTGTGTTTTTTTTTAGATATTGAAACTGCAGAACAATCGCATCGCCAAGCTGGACAACGGCAGCTTCGTCATGTACCCGAAGATCAAAGAGCTGCTGTTGTCGGACAATATGGTGCAAACGATCAAACCCGGGTCACTGTCGGTGCTGGACAAGCTGGAGTTCGTGGACCTATTGGGCAACGCGTTGCACGAGGTGCTGGCCGGTTGCCCAAGTCGCTGGTTAACTTGAACTTGAATATGAACCCGATAAAGCGCATGGACCAGCTATCGCGCGCTGTCGGGCTGCAGGTTTTGAAACTGAGCAGCTGCAGCCTGGCCAAGTACCTGGCACTGGACGTGATGCCCAGTCTGGTCGAGCTGGACGTGTCCGGCAATGAGCTGCTGAACGACCTGGACCCGGTCACTGGCGGCCACGTGCCGGTTGTCCTGGCTCAATGTTACAGGCTGCACCACGCTGTTCCAGCGACCCGAGTCCTGTTGCCGATGCCTGAGTGCCGTTAAATGGACGCGCAACCATAAAATCCAAGTGTTCGGTATGCCGCCGTGTCTGGTCGCCAACCGGAACCGGAACCGCCTAACCTAACCGAGCCGTTCTAGTTGAAATAGTCATTAGAATATTCAACATGGATTATTTTCTTTTAATATCAATTAAAGTCTAATCTTGCTAGTCATTTAACAAACAATAATCATGCAATTTATGCTTATACAAAATATAATTAATGTTATTTGTAAACCAATGCGGTATTTTTTATAGAAAACATTGATAGATCGATATTAACAAATGATCGAGGGACAGTCAAATATATCGAAACCGAATAACCGATGACTAAACCCAGGCGTTGTTTAAAAATAAATAAATTATTACGATAACTAACCGTAGGTACGATAAACTATTACATATACATTTTTGAAACACATTCTATGCTTGACTCTCTTTCACTCCCGAAAGAGGGCATTTTGAAATACGGATTATTTATGATTCATATCGGCCATCGTATCCGTTAAATTAAACATTTATCAAGAACGTAAAACGTTTGAACAACATTCGAAATATTTCTGTTAAAATAATACATCGATGTGTGAGTGTATATGCTCACTTGCATACGTGTGTGTGTGCGTGTGTGCCCGGAGGGCGTACGTGTGTGTGTGTGTGTGTGTGTGTGTGTCGGTATGCGCGTGCGTCATATGTATGCGTTCTCCTTGTATACTCGACTTTATTATAGTTCGCTTCTATCTATTCCTATATTTCGAGACATCGTAAAAAATAAAAAAAAAATAAAATAAACAGAAACAACCGGTTTAGTTGAACATAATATTAGCGTTAGTCATTGTAACGACACTGCTCAACCCTAAGCATGTTTGTATACATAAAACACGGTGTACAAGTTTGTCGAATCCTTTTTATACCGTAGTCGACGCGTCGTTCGATAACATACGCCCTTCCAATCGCACGCCATGTTGTCGTGCAGTAATGCACCGCGTTGCAATTGAAAACCGTCACAACTATCGTACGTCCATCATTAACGTTTTGATGCGTCTGCGAGTACGTTCATCGTTCGAGTGCTATTGGAAACATCCGATCGTCGAATTGCATTGACAAAAAACATCATCCAATATGGTCAGTAACCCAATTAATATCGGTATTCCTAATTATTGTTGTCAAGTGTGCTTTTCTACTACCGTATATAGAATTTATTTTTCTCCATTATTTTACAAAATATACGTGATCGAAACTTTTGTTTCTCAATTCTCGCTCTTAAGTCTTCCTATAATATCCTGTTGGGAGGGAAAACGTCAAAATCATTAAATTTTTTTTTAATATTTTAACACTTATTTATTATGTTTTGATAAGTAAATTTCATTTGTATGTATGCTTATAAGATTTTAAGATTTTAAAACAATTTAATGAATATATAACTATATATAAGGAATTTGAAAATATTCAGTTTATTCCACGCGCCGGGCATTGCCGCTAAGAAATCTCCCTATTCTGTTTCTTAACATCAAGCGTGCATAAATATTTCTTTAAGTAACTTTTTTTTTGTGAGGGTAGTACGCTTAAAATGTTTGTAAAGCTAGGTTGAGACGACAGATTTTTATGCAACGGGTGTGTAGGAAAAAACGTCAAGCTGCATCGCTAAAACTTTGGGAATCGCTAGTCTATAGGTATTTTATATCCATATATACATGGATAATTGGACATTTTAGGATGAAGTATTAGAAAGATTCATATCATGTTATATTAGTACCACTTTCTGAAGAATAAATTTGATAACATAATTGTTTATTAGGATATATTATATATCAGTACGTAAATATACGTTTTACACAAAATTGATTTTAAATTTGCTGTGACTATTTTTAAATAACTTATTTCTCCCATTACTATGCAAGTAGCCTCCGTGGCGCAATGGTTAGCGCGTTCGGCTGTTAACCGAAAGGTTGGTGGTTCGAACCCACCCGGGGGCGATTATTTTTTTCGACCGCACTACTCTTTATATTTATTTTACGTTTTATATTAAAAAACTGAGAATTATTGAATTACATGACATTAGTTAGGTATTCTTAATATTTTACTGACTAAAGCCAAACAAATATAATTTATCATCCGTGGCGTGGATACAATTTTTTTCTGGGGGGGGGGGGGTGTTAAGAGTAATTTTTTAAATGTTCTTAGTATATCTTAAAACCAGGCCATATGTAATAATATTACATTTAAAATGGTATTATTATTTAGCACCGTGTTATTGTTATCAATATAATTATATTTATGTGTTAACAAAAAAAAAAAATTATGATTCGTAGTGAGTAATTAATTTAAATAATTCATTTAATAACTATGCATTTTATAAAATGACAAATAGGATATTAGCAACCTATTAAATAAGAAAATCCATTCTAACAGAAGGAAAGTATATGAATAAAAATGTATCAATTATTAGAGAAAATGCATTCATAAAGATTAAATTGTTTAGTAGTATAAAGATTTTATATATTTTTGAATACTTTATTATTTTATATATTGTTAAGAAAACCATATTTGGGTATTATTGTTTTTACTTATCGTGAATTTGAAGTATCATGTTTTTAAACGCATAACTACACTACGTATATTCAATAAATAATCATCTTCAATGGAGTTATATGACATATGATTACGGTTTTACGACAGTAAATTCTAGGGCCCCATGAAAAAATCTGCACTGAGTCCCACTGATTTGATAATAATGTATTATTTTGTTTTGTTTTAGTATGCTATGTTATTATAAGTTATATAATTTTATATCTTCATTCGTAGGATCAGTTAATAGTTTATAATAGTTTAATAAAAAATCCCCTTTACAGTAGTGTTTTCATTACAATAGTAGTGAATATGAACAGGACCGTCCCAAGGTTTTTCGGGGCTAGGGACAAAATAAAATTTGGGGTCCTCCGACCATAATAATAAGATATGATACACAAAATACTCACTGAGAATAACAAAATTCTTACAAACGTATTTTTCCAAACCTTAACCAATCAAGCTCATTTAAATTCATGTACTGCACTACATACTTACATAATAGAACTGAATATTATTCATATTATTTATAATTTAATCGCTCAATGTAATCGGACAAGTAACTACACGTTCACACGCGCGCGACTTTAATTTCCGACACGCAGCGTGTAAAATTGCTCAATGTAATCGAGGCTTTATTATTAATTATGATACATCTAGACTTTATGGGGGCCCCCTAAAATATATTCCAACAATGGGGCCTGGGGAAAAATGGTCCCGTTGACCCCCTACTCTTAACGGCCCTGAATATGAATAATACTAATGCAATTCATCGAGCAGTGTAAAAACTATCAAAAATTTTCTAAATTGCATACACAGAAGGCCTTATGAATTTTTTTTATAGTTACTAATTATTTTCAATTTCAATACTTACTCGTATAACGTAAAAATAATATTTAAGATCTTTCATAAGATTTGAAGTTATTATTAATAAATATAAACTTCCTTAAAGCCGCAAAGAAGTTAAATAAGTATGAAAAAATTAAGTTCGGAAAAAATCGAGTATTCTAACGATTTTAAATTATATGATTATGTTTTTTTCGGTAGTATTTTTTTATAATAATTTGGTTGTTATTCTATAAATTATGGCAACTCGAAACATACAGCGAGTATTCAAATTAACATTAATTAGATTAACCAAAAATGTTTGAAATATTTTTAATTATGAAAATAATTCAATTATTAATTTATAGATTTTTACTTATCAAGAAAATATTAAAAACTATAGAATAGAAGTTGAGGATGAAATCCATTATCCGTATTTCGTTCAAAATATTTTTTGATAGAAATCCTACATAATTGGTTTTATATTCAATAGTTATAACCACACTTACCTATGTGTATATTCTTTACTATAAACGTAAAATAATAGTATTAGATTATTTTAATTAATAATGCATACATTTTAAATCTGTTAATTACGTATTATATTCAACACGCAAAAAACTCCACGAAAATATTTATAGAATGTATTTTATTGATGCTTTATATTCAAAATATATTTACCTATAGTATAATTTACTCAATTTATAAAATTAATTTAATACAAAAAAATTGAGATAAAAATATTTTTAAAGTTATGGCTTTCAACATTGTTATATAAAATGTTGTAAAGATTTCTCTTTAAGTTGAATTTACATCATGATTTTGAATTATTAAACTAATATGTTGAGCATATTATATGATAAAGATTAATTTTAAAATATTGTTAAAAGATTAATGCAACACTTAAATAACTCGTATAAATTAATTGATAAAACTTGATTGTACAGTTCTAGTTATATTAAGATTAGGAAATTGTTATTTGCGATGTTAAGAAACGGAATAGGCTTTGTGAGAAGTAACCTTTTAGATATAATAACAAATTTATTCATATTTTAATCTAAAAGACAAAAAAATGTAATTCTAGTTTACGTTTAGCCGGATCTCGTATGATCATATATTTTTAATATTTTCGTGTATCTACATGTGTTGATAGTTAATTTAAATTAACTACTCGTCTGCTTAAGCATTCAATAGTCCAGATGAGTACCTAATTTAACAGTGTAATTTGTACCTCCAAAAATATAAATATTTTACACTAATTATTTATTTATTTTATGCAATATCAGAATACATAATAATAATGGTGTATACTTTACGCATAAATAATAATATTATGGTCCATTTTAATGTTTTATCTCAATGATATGTAGTTACAACGTCAAAGAAATGCATCTGCCACGGCTGAGGTGTTGGATATTCCCCCTGAAAATGCCGCTTTGGAAGTTTCTCAAAGTGAAATTAATGTAATCAACGGTATAGACCTATCAGCTGCAAGATATGTTATACAAGCTAAGAAGGAACGCAATTTAAATGTACGTGATGAGATTTTTGACCGTATTATAGATCTTTACTCAATGGCGGACAAAATACATATGAATCACATGGTAAAATAACAATGATTATATTTAAATATTTACAAAACGTATAATAATAATTTAAATTGTTTTCAGAATCATTTACTAGGCAGGGCCTATATAAGCTTATTAGAAAATAACACTTTGGCAGATGCTAATCGAATATTTACTTCAACAATTAAACATTCATTGAATCATATATCACCTGCACTGTCTAGTGATCTTAACGAAGCTGCTTGCAGACGATTTATTACACAGGATCAAAAATTATTGCGTTCCGAATTTCGCAAACATGCGGATTCTGCAAATATTCGATTACAAATAGCACACTGTTATTTGAAACTAGGCAAATTAAAACAAGCACGATTAATGTTTGAACTAGTTTTAAAATCAAATTCGATGCATGTCGATGCATTAGTTGGTCTTGCAATTACGAAATTAACCGAAAACGAATCATTACCATTTGCTAATGAGTTATGTGTACAATTTTCAAAAGAATGTAGCATTTATACTATCAAAACGGAAACTCTCAATACGATTGCTTTCGATTATTTTACTAAAGAAAACTATGCTACATCTGAAAGATATGCTGAATTTGTCATACGGAGATCAAGTGATTTTTATCAATTAACTAAAAGTTATAACCTACTTGGTAAAATCGCTGAAAACAAGGTAATGTAATTTGTTATTTTTATACAATAATATGGTTTTAACACATTCAATACTTTAGGGTAATGTTCAACAAGCATTTCATTATTATAATCAAGCAGTTTTTTTCGCACGTCTTATGTAAAATATTTGTATTGTGGTATTGATAAAATATGTCTTATAAAATCTGACAAGGAGAAAGTAATGACTATATTGACATCAACGCAGTCTGATTAGATGTATATTTGTGTAATTTTATATATATTAGGTTCAAGAAAGCTTCGAAAAAAATTTTCAAGTGAATCCGAGCTTTATGAAGACTAAAAAATCCTTTGTCTATTGTATGCAAGTTTAGCAAATCATTATAAAATAATTTAATTTTTGTTTTTCAAAACTATTTATAATTTTTGACTTATTTTCAATAATTTAGGTACTAAATAAGTTGGCAGACGATTCAGAAGCTTGGATGCAATGAAGTTTGATAGCTTTAGATTCAAGTTTAAAAACGCTAACTCCGATTTATGATAAAATCATGAGTTCAATAAGCCTCGGTAAAGAAACCAAACGTTCAATTGGAATTCGTCTCGCCATCGCTGGCCTATACGAAAAGTATGGTTCGTGTTAAAAACCTAATTTAACTAATTATACTTTAACTTTTGTTTCATTTAAAGGTTTGGAAAATATGATGAATGTCATTCTACATTAGAAATGTGTATGAAATTGGCAAAGGAAAAATATTCAAATTACTCAAATGAATACTTTATGAAAATAAGTTTTGAGGTTCACTTTTATTTAGCCGAATCCTATGAATATCTTGAGCAGTTTTGAGAAATTTACAAAGAATTAATCAACATGTAGGATCCGAAACATATTAAGAGTATTAATATAAAATATTCTAAGTGTTTTTAATTAATAATACTTCTATAATGCTATATCGTATGTTACAAGTATTAAAATTTAATTTGTAAATGAATTTATATAATTAATTACTAATTTATGATACAAATGTATTTTAATTATATTCTGGTGTAAAATATGTATATATAATTGTTAAATACTGTAATGGTCAAATGTTTTCATTTTTATTAGTTTTATTTAAATTTCTTCATAATTAGTATTATTTTATAAACTTAATTATTATATTTTTAATTAGTTATGTTTTATGATTTACATTTTATATTTGTAACACTGATTGTTATAATTAACAAATATTTCATTTTATTGTTATAGTTATTTTTTGCAACATCATACTATTATTATTATTAATAATTTTATTCTTAAACATTTTCTCGTACTTTAGTTATATTATGAAGTAAAATATTTTAACCGTCTATTATCATTATTGTTCTCACTAGAAAAATTATTAATTTATTGGTAAATATATTGCATTAACTTTTTTTAGTTATATTAATTAAAACCATTACATTTTAATTTTTAATTTTAAGATAAATTTAAATAATCGTATTGATATGGAGTTATGAAGTTAGTTTTATCCGTGATATATTTATGATGTAGAATGTTAATAACTTTTTCGTTACAGCACACTCTTAGATACATATAGATTCTCATATGCAAAACATAAGTAAAAATATTAAATTGGTTAACTAATACATTTAAGAGTAGTTGGAAGTTTTGTTCCGTTTATATATGCAGGGTTAACCTCAATTATTGGTTAGTTATAAAATAATAAAACGAAACAAAAATTTGTGAATGGTTAAGACTCGTAAATGAATGTATATAAATACAAGTATGTATGTAGAAATAAACAAATTTCCATTATAATATTTATAGTAAATATAAACTAGTTTGATTTTGATACTTGTTTAACATATAATTATTATTATAATACATAATACAAAGTCTGTTTTATCAACCATATCACGGAACTATTGGGTAGTTTTATTAAAAAATGATTATAAATTAAGGCTCGTTATTTGCTAAAGGTGGGACTAACCTATGCACGCGTCTAAAAATGTGATTGGATTTCATCGAATTTATAAATAGTCATTTATTTAGCTACGCGATCTAGTATTGATTTCTATGCATCCGCCTGGAGACACGCGTCCAACACTGTAGGACTAGAATTAGGCACGTACACGTAGTTTTATGAAGTCCTCTGTTTGAAACGGTTGTACTTGTATTTTCATATATGAGGTAAGTGTATTTTAAAATATTACCATACTTTTAACAAAAAAAAAAATTAATCTTAAAACTACTTTTTTTTACAGCGAGTAGATTAAGTAGTAGAAGACAGTACAAACGAGTAGAAGAACAAGCCGCCATAAAATACGTTCAGTCAAAAATGAAGTGCTTGAAATGTAGCCAAGGAAGCTGAAGGATTTTTCAGTTTCCTGATTGATAAAAATTTATGGCGAGATGAAACGTTTATAATATGATTTTAATATTTTATAGTACCTACCTATGTAATATTAATTTTTAAATAATGTGCATAAAAACATTTTTATTGATAATGAATTATGAATTATAAATATTATAAATAGGGAACGGATTTATATGTAATAAAAATACATAAATATGTACATATATATGTAAGTATAATTTATAAAATATGTACTAAAACCATCCAAATATGTAGGAAAAAAATTTAAAAAAAAAAAAAATTATAATTATTAAATTATTAAAATGATTTGTTGCATTGAATTATTACAATATATTTTAAATTATCAAATATTAAATGTCGCCTATTAAATCTGAAAATATTTTTAAAACGACTAAATGATCGTTCCACATCAACCTACATCGGTTGATTTAAACATATTTGAAGGGCATAATATTAGAAGGCGATAATTCCAAGTTTTTAGAAGGGTGTCTGCCACTAATTATGTCATTAATTGATTTAAAATCAATATGGCCTGAAATTTTTTCTGTAAAAACATGAATTTTCTTTTTTACTACTTCTCCTATTGGTCCGTTTACGAGTTTTCATTTTGCAATCGTTGATTCGACAATTTGCATACTTTCATTCAAGGACATATTTTTGTTTCTAATTTTGTAATTGTATGTGCAATAAAACTAAAATTCACTAAGATGAAAATTAAATTTGTTTTCAATGTTTCATTTTGCATAATATTTTGAGCTTTTCTAATAGCGATAAAAGTTCTGGATCTAAATTTGAAATAATTTTTTGTATTTTTGTACGAAGAAGACGTATGAATGATGAAATAATAAAATATGTTTAAAAATATTTACAAATTAGTGAAATATGTAAAAATATGTAATTATACCAAAATATGTAAAAATATGTAAAATAAAAGTAGCATCATATTAATAGGAATGATTTAAATCATGAACATTTCTTATCAAATTTTAAATATCTCGTTTTAATAAAAATATGTGTTTACATATAAATCCGTTCCCTAATTATAAATAATGGAATTTTTGAAAATGCCCATATATCGTATAAAAAATCATTCAAAATAAACAAAAATAAAATTAAAGATAGTTTTAGAATTGTAAAGATATACTAAGACAAACAATTTATAATAATAGTAACAATTTTTCGAATTTTTATTTTATTTTTCGATGTGTAGATTTACTCTCCAATTAGTGATATTATAAAGTATGGTAAATTACATTGTTTTCTTGCATATAAATATATAATATAAACACATATTAATAAATTATATAGGTACATCATTTTTATGAATTATGTAGATAGTTATTTAAAATTTGATCTTAAAAATGGCTTAAACTACTGTTTGAGGTTGTTAACATACTTAAATTAATTAAAAACGTATTGATGTAAGCCCAAGGCTAGGCGTATTTAATAATCAAAAATAACTTATTATACATATTAGTAAATTCGCCAAGGTCCAGCTAAATTTAATAATCAAAATAATATTTTGTTATATAATAGATTTAAATAGTATATGTATAATATAGATAATATAGTAATTTACTATACTTTTTAATAAATTCGCATATACGCAGAAGACCCAGGGTAAAGGTGAAAACAACAAGTAGTTTTCACGTCTTAACATAATAATGCTAAATAGAGGGCAAAATAGAGTAATATTAGAATTAGGCCACTTTTACGTCATTGGAACCTGTATAAATACGGGTTGAGCATTTAGCTTATTCAGATGTAGATAGTTAGTTCTAATAGACAGTGTTATACTGGCCATTTCCCTAATTAATAAATTATTGCTCGTCGTGGACTTTGTTACAGCCACATCGCCGCGAGTATATAATTCTTAGCCCAGAATAACTTGTTATTTTATTTTTTTGTGTTTTTAACTGTTTGTTAATTTATTGTGATAAATTAATAAAAACAGTAAGTTTATAAGTTTAATATACCAGTGTTAAATTTATTCACCTACCTATCTCTCTCAACCCACGTCTCAAGATTACATACAACGTGCTACGTCGTTAAATAATTAATGTGTTACCGATCGTAGTGTCCTGTACAACGATCACTACAGTATTTACGATCCACGATGAACCAAAACAGACTCACTAACTTGTCACTTCTGTCAATCGAAAAAGAAATCACAAAGACAGTTGATTTTGATTCAGTTATTGATAATTTGTCTACAATCAAACCCAGAAAAATAAAGTTTTAAATATTAACTTTAACATTTTGTAAATTTGGAAAATGTAGAATAATATATTTTAGTATATTATACATTTAATACATAAGTTACAGGTAATCATTATACTATTTCAATTTTTAGTAATTAGTTATATTTTTCTTTCATTGTAGTTTTTCCGTACCTAAGTAGATACATAATATGTAGACATGTAGTAATTATGAAGTTTTGAGTGTAACAAGAACAAAAATTGAAAATGTATAAATATTATTCATTTACATAAAGCTTTTTATGTTAAGACTTAAAAGTAAGCAATAAATAATTTAGATTTGTTAATAAATAAAATATAAATGTTACTATCAAAAACATTAATTTTTCTAAACCTGAAACTTAGAAATATTAACCATAGATTTTAGCTTTAAATACTCCATTCAGAAGTGCTTCTAGAAATATTACTTAAATCGCACGTGTGTATTAATAACATTATATATAATGATTGATATCAATAAGAATCTTAATGCCTGACACGTGATTAAAATTAATAATTTAAAAAGTTTTTCACCAAGTTGAACGAAGCCTTAAGATCTTCATTCCGACGCCGTTTATATAGTATATAATCTAATTAAAATGAACTATGAATAACAATAACAATAGTGACAATTACTAAATGTACTTAAATAAAACAAGAATATTTTATTTTGTTTTCATTTAAAGGACATATGTAACAATTGCAGTAAGAAATAATTTGTTGTACTTTATACGTAATTTGTAGAACGTTATTTATCATAATTCAAAATTATGCTGCACATGAATTCAAAATGTATTCGCCTTACGAGAATTGTGTCAATAACATACATATATATAAAATAGGGTGGTCCTTAGTTATAGAAATATAATTTTTTTTGAGTATTCCTTGGCCACGTACCCGCCATTTTGTTCATTATAATCAGTAAGCAATTGGGACTAAATTTAGTTATGATAACTCAACCTCTTTCCGTGCCTCAAGATGGTTGTAAATTTGTTATAGAGGGTAGTTTTGTGAATTGAACTCAAAAACTGTAGTACCCAATACCCAACAAAAAATTTATAGAAGGTTAATTATATATTTTAACGTTGCTCATAAAATATATATTTAAAAAATTGTCTAAGATATATTAAATATTTTATCTGTACTTATTTTTTGTTGTACAATGATTCACATTCTTTCCTGAAATCTACAATAAAGGATAATATTATTTCTGAAAATATATGATGGCAACAATGATAACATAGAGTGCAAAACAGTCGATTAAGACGTTAGACT